CATAACAATTGCCAAACTTATATTGCACATGACTTGCACACGCCCAATGTTGCAATATTCCTCTAGAGTACTCCACAATGCAAGGCAGAGTGACACTGTGGCACTAGATAGTGTTTGGCGTGCTTTAACAAGGCAGATCCTGGGCGCTAGTCAGATACTGACATACTCGGAACGCTGATGCTAGACCCGATATGGCTACTTTTCGACGTAATTCATGAGCGTACTCATACATCTGGATACACCCCCGACTACAATACACCGAACGTCACCCTATCCGTAAAAAAACACCACTAGTTCCAACGTCTCGCACCAACGCGGGTGCAAGCATTTTTCTCACTTAATATGCATCTACTTGGAATGGTCTCCATCTGTCCTTTAGATCATGCACATCTCCTCAGATGTTCGTATACAGATAGATACATTTATCCCAGTTCCAAAAGCTATACAGCCCTTCAAGCTTAATATCACAGAGTCAGAGGTCTACCCGAAGAGATCAAATAGCATATAATGCCATGCCGTACATTACAAACTTTCTATTGTTACCACAGAAGCCAAAATATTAAAACAGGCGGGATTTCTTTGCCCACTCTTTATCACATTCTCTACTTACCCGCCCATACCCACCTCAAGCCCCCCATATCAATAGGGCGGCTGAAGTGGGGCGTTATCTCGAGTCCTCATCTTCATTCATTTTGATCAATGTCATGTGCTTTCCTCACTCGACCACACAGACCTCGAAGCTTTTATGTCTACATGGAAGTCAACAGCTGAAGATAAACCAAATCCTCATTCGCACTCCTTGTGCTCTTGTTATGTCATCTCCTTAATTGGCCATACCTACTTCAAGGCTCTCATGTCCGCATAGAAGTCTATAACGAAACAATAACCGGATACTCATCTCCTCTAACCGAACGACTGTTACGCTTTCTTTTCCAATCAGATTGCAAAGCGCTCGTTCCTACCGAAGCTATTGAAACTTCTGTCATAGATGCGCATCCGCGTGAAAAAGATAGCCCTTAAATATTGATGTGCCAGATAATTAGTGTTGCACTTCCTTGAGCGGGTTTTGAGTTTCTTCTAATCTACGGTTTTCTAAAGATTAGCAGGCCGACTGATGATCCACGCTAACAGTGGCCTCACCGATTCTAATGAAGCACATTCGCGAACAAGACGTGAATATTTAACGTTCATGTCTTCTGTACCTGTCTTTAATAACTGTATGCCCCTGAGCATTATAGACTTGTATCATATTTCCCCCTTGATACATTATCTTTGTTAAAACTGACCTCACCGTAACAGTCTCCTCCACTTGCATATCGGTTAACCTGTTCACTTCTATTTTCTAACCTGTCCCTTGCCCCGAGACCCGTTAAATTATCGTGGAAAAATTTTCAACTGCGCCTGACTGAATGGCATGTTGCTTCAACACAATAACATTGATGCATCGATCCTACTACATGGGCCGTTCCCGCTCCATTCAACCGCGTCTCAGTCTGCTGCAATGACAGACTACACCGCATGCCAGCATGTCACTGACACAAAAACCGCTACTTTGTAATATCTTCTCGAACTGCTAACCAACATGCGACTGATACGGTGTATGAAGTGTATGACGTATGCTTCGTCAAATTATGAGCACGATTACCTTATCTACTTACTTGAATAACCAACAATTTTTCGATCTCTTGTACGATTTGATCGGAGCAACCAAGTACCATGACTCAAAAGTCGACAAAGAAACCATTCATTAAAGTATTAAATAAATCCATTGTCATTCAAAAATCTAGTACTCTCCACTAATCATCACTTGAAAACCTATGGAGCTGAGACTCATGCTTGCTCACCTTATCAGTTAGACATTGGTAGAGACACCCTCATGTTTACATGTCATGATTTTACTACGGTGTAAAGAACAGGGTTGGTCCCAAAAAGCACACCGGCTTTCGCTGAGATACAAACCATATTTTGACATTCTACAGCAAGTGGGTGCTTGTTGATAGTGAATGAGTGCATTAATGCTGTAGTCCAGTAAATGTTTTAATGCCCTGTCTGCAAGTTGAACGGGCGTTGGTTCGAATTCGGACGTTCACGAATTAATTTGAGCTAATGAGTCTACGCGTCTGAAGGAAGCGTGTAGTTAGCACCTTACGGTACGCAGGTAACTGTATCACTTAGTCGGTCTGTGATGAAGCCACTCTACACGATGATTGCTGTATGGCTGTCGGCACTATAGCTCACATGGGATAAGTATTTCCCCTTACCTCTTCAGTTGGACTATTCTCGAAAGATTTATATGCGGTGGGGCGCTTATTCGCGAGCAAATTATCAGACATGCCGTGCTTAACGCACGTGTTGAAAGGTAACTTACCCATCCGATTTGGACTCCTGTATTCCACGTCTTATTAGGCAAGTATTTGTTGTCGGAAGAGGACGGGACGCAGAGTCTTTACAAAGATGATAGATGATGATGATAGGCCGCCCATCATGAAACAGGTCTTTATCATACCAACGCTTCATTTCGCGTGCGGTGTACATGCCTCCGTTCCTAACCTTGCCTCAGTGAATGACTAAACATAGATGTTAAATCGCTATGAAGCTGCACTCATCAGTTATGGTGCCTACTGAATTGGCCATTCTGAGCCTCTCCTTGACCTTAGGACACTCAAGTGAATCCCTAAACTAAATAAATCTAGGCCTGCTGAAAGAGTATAGTCAGCTTCGAATCATTCTCGTTCCCAACCAATTAACTCATCGTCCTTTTTCTTTTAGATTGGATATATGATGTGGGAATAGAGAACTGGAAGGCGCATCACTAGTTACATTAGTCTAATAGCGGTGGACTCCTGGGTCTGTTGTCACAATGCTGATGAGACCTAGCAACACAGTCCGTCAAGCATGCTGTCTCTCAGATCCTTTGTGTATACCGCAATTGATACACGCGACCTAGCCGATGGAGATGTTAACCTTCTTAAGGTTCCGAAGAAGTCCACTTGTAAAGTTACATTTGTTACTTTCCAGGATTTGGTGAGTTAATCCATGTAGAAGGAAACGTCGACCTATGATTACAAGAGTACAATGCAGAGTGAGGGCTTACGGCAAGTTGTCGTCGCCCTTTAATATCTCCAGCGGCGTGAGACAAGGATGCCCGCTATCACCTTTCCTCTTCAACTTCGCTGTTGACGAAGTCATGGAAATCGCGTTCACAGGACACGAATTAGAAGGTGTGGAGCTACTCCCAGGAGAACGACTTCTTGACTTAGAGTATGCTGATGATATTGCCCCAATCTCTAATAGCTCACAAACGTGCCAAGCGGCACTGGACAGATTAGCACTAGATGTCCGTCACTTCGGGCTTTGCTTCGCACTCTCGAAGTGCAAAGCGTTTCTCCCAGATTGGTCTGGACCGCCTCCTACGCTGACCGTTGGTGGGGATCAGCTAGAAGTCGTTCAGAAATTCAACTACCTGGGAAGTTGTATCAGCGCCCGTGGGATTGAAGATGAGATCACGAACCGTATAGCAAAAGCTCGGGGCGCGTTTGCTAACATTCGCCACTTGTGGCGCCGGCGCGACATCACTATTGCCTTGAAGGGTAGAGTGTACAATGCAGCAGTACGTTCGACTCTACTGTACGATTGTGAAACATGGCCCCTTAAAGCAGCTGACCTGAAGAGGCTAGTTACGTTCGACCACCGGTGCCTTCGTAATTTAGCTCACATCTGGTGGGAACACCGCGTGAGCACCGAGCGTGTTCGACGCCTTGTTTACGGTACAGGAAAAGGAAATAAACCGCTCAGCACCGTCATTTCACGCATCAGGCTCCGATGGCTCGGCCACGTGTTGCGCATTCCAGCCCACCGACTTCCGCGACGTGTGTTGTTTGTGCGCCGGGGGTGTGAATGGAAGAAGAGGAGGGGTGGCCAAGCGATGACTTGGTCCAGAGGAATGAAGGTCCTTACTTCTGAGCTGGCCTCACTTGGAGCGTCTCGGCTCTCTGGTTGGGGTCCGAAAGAGGATGAACACGTTTGGTTGGACACACTTGCTGATATGGCTAGGAGCCGAGCTCAGTTGTGTTCGTGCTGTGAGTTTCTTTGTCCTACCCCATCCCTCTTAGCCTCCCCCTCCAACCATGATCTCATTATTTAGCCTTATATAACTTTGCATAATAATTTTTTTGGGTGCACAGCAGCCGGCTTGTAGCTTACCGGAACGATGCCCGTCAGTTACCCATAGCTCAGCCAGCTTGCACCAGTCGCATTTTTTCTCCTTTTTTCTATGTATTTCGGCACAGTAGCTGACGTGCTCCCCACCAGAGTACAATGAACAGTGAACAATATTTTCACGCGGGTTATAAGCATTGGTTTTACAACACTCATCGTATGTTGCCTTTGTGCTTTTTGTAAACTTTAATATAGAAGAGTTATTATCTATAACGCAGAGTACTCCTGTGGGGAGCGATTGCTGGCATGTTGCTTGGCACCCCTCAGGTTAGTGCCTTTGTGGCATTCGGCCGATCGAGAACGCCACCGAGAGGTGACAACGAGGATTCGGGACAACGTGCTATAATGTGATATGGTTAAAGCCACCCTATTTGACACTAACTGCGGCCACTCATCGTCAAGCTAAGCGCGAAATAGGTTGATGCACCGTATGTCACACTTGGATACCATTCGCAACAAACCCGGTGGTGTCTGGAATAAGGCAACTGGTATTTTGTTTGTGACGCTGACCGAACAACAGAGTTTGTAAACTTCGCATACCTCGTACAGTGATGTGATCCTCAACCACCGCCTCAGTAGTCACGATAAGCCGCCGTGACCTCAGTACGAGATCACAGGGAGGTTTACAACTATTGAACACATCTCGTCTCACCAATCGGTCCAGTTTTATCTCCACAGCCATCCAAAGTGTCTAGAGTTCAGGCGTCTGTCGGTGGCCAAAACAACCATCGTTGGTACTATTTAAGGTGGTCACATAGGTTAGACGTGTGCTTATATTGGTGGTAGCGGTCAGAATCGAACCGTACAAGCATTCACCATGAGGTGTTCCACTGCGTTGGCTTTCTTTGTGCTATCTTACATACTCGTCCTTGCAAGTGCTGTGTAAGTCAGAGCGTATGTAACATTTGACTTAACTTCACTTATCTGCTTTCGCATATAGTCCAGTCGCTGACAAATCTCCATTGGTGAGTTCCCTATTACGTACTTCCATACTCTAATTGCTTCAATACATCATAACAGGCAGAATCGCTCGCTCAACTCAGAAAGACACTTGTTCAATTAGGACTGAAGATGAAGGAGTGCGCAGACCAATACTTGGAGCGTGATGATCTAGGAACTTCTTTGAACAAGGTCTTCACCATATGTAGGTTTGATGCAATCAGTTCCTTCGTGACACAGATTCTTCTTCCGCTTACAGTGGCGAACAGGTTTAACGCGAGAGTGCAAAAGTGGCTTGAACTGTGAATGACACATTTTCAGCTATGGGCATTACATAACTTATAACACAACTGCTTGTTTCTTGACTTTGTAGCATTGGTGTCTTCTTCCATTGTGCTTTTGCCTTTTGATTTGCAATTACTTCAAATCGTCGCCGATAGTTTTATGGTTGACTTCGGTACCTACTCTGTCGATGTTCCAAAGTTTTGATTCCCTTTCTGTATACTAAAACGTGGTTTTGCATCGTTCGCATTTTATATACTGTTGACATGAACGGACACATCGCTTCCTCCAGTACCAGGAATTCATCAAATGAAAACAAGTTTTACACTTTGACTACATTTCTTTGTCATGTTAGCTTAGGCGACTTCAGATGATCAATGTGTTTACAAAATGCGTGAAGACAGAAGGTGTACCAAATGTAGCTTCGCAGTATCTTCAACTGAAGCAATACACTGATTATCTCAGGGAAAAATACGTCTCAGCGCGACACTACTGGATGCATTATCTCTGGTTGATAATTGATAGAAGGAAAAGGCAGTATATAAATCGGCTGTTTAAGAGGCGTGAACAGACGATTCAGGGGCAACCTGTATTCTAACTAACTGAGAGAACAAGGAATTAGTCACTTCCGACTAAGGACGCTTAAGGAAACGTTACATTATGTTCACATGTTTACAATGTCACTTATATAGCTAATAATCATTTGGCGGAATAGAGCTGTGTTCATCGCTGCTTTCACTGACATAGCAACTTTTGTTTTAACACTCTCCTGATGAAAATGTACATGAGAGTAGTCGGTGTGAAGAATCATCTGTGGTGGCGGCTCATCGGTGAACGAACTACCTTCATTAAAGTTAACTGAGAGCCTCACATCTATCTTAGCTTAGAGTTAAATTCTTTTATTCTGTACAGTCGTCGGCAAAGTCATTTGAAAGGCGATCCAGTAGTTCAATTGCTTCGGAACGTTCCATTCTAAGTAACCTAAGCTCACAGTAAACCAGCTTACACCATACAATAGTTGACCAGATTCTCAGTGGGTCTGTGCACTATGTATAGTCATCCCACTATTAAATGTTTTACATGAACTATTGCGGAAACACGAAAGACTGATGGCAGAGATTGAACAGATGAGAAACACTAACATCGTTTCAATAATAGAAAGCGTGACAGAATGTAAACCATCGTCTTCCCTAATACGCTTCTTTTTACAACTAAGAAATCAACTTGGCAGCGCGCCATGAAATACAGCACCTGCGGCTTTATACGTCAACACTACCAGCGGCTCAAATACGCCGGAACCAATCTCTGACAGTCCGACTAGAACAACTATGCCTAAGGCCTCCTCCATGTTCCAAACTGTTCAGAAATTTCAGAAGGACGTCTACACTAGTTGTGATTGAAACGTGGCTACTGCCAAAGGCAACAGAGAACTTAGGCATTCAGTTACTCTCACTGGATTTAAAATAACTTAAGGAGGCAGACCTGTACTTACTCAGTCTCCAGTGATTTTATGGAGACCAGCTGAGCAGTCGATCTAAACTCAGGCTGCATAAATGGTCATTAAGAGACGACATAGTTTACCATCGGTAACCTGCACCATTATTTCCAGTATCCGCACCAAACTCTTAAAATGATACCAATTCGATGATATGAACGGGTGGAACTTAATAATTGACATCTTAGGTGTCGTAACTACGCAAGCCAAATTGATAAGATTCACCCGTCACCCAGACTCAGAGCATTTCGGTGAACTGAGGCTTCGGCGAGTTATATTGGTCTCCTCCGCTGAACCAGCAGCACTTCTATTATCAACAGCTCGTCTCAGAAATACATGTTCCATCAGCATCTTCCTGGATATTCCGTGGGGCGAGCGTAAATAGTCGAAGCACGAGTTGGAAGAATACGTAAGGAATTCGTAGTCAGGATCATCCTTGTACACGGTATTCCAGAAACTGTGGGTCATGATGAGCGTGAGGCAAGCTCCCCCGACCAGGAGCAGTGGCGCTACATTCACGCAAACCTCTCCTTAGAATACGTCATAGCGCAATCGACCTCGATGTTGTGCAGATGGCCAACTTATGGGGCATGTGGCCCGAGGATTGTGTTGATGTTAGAAAGAAAAGCTACTATAAGAATCTGGAGGTCCAGGAGCGCGAACTGACGATTTACGGATATCTCGCATTCACACGACTCTCAACATAGTTATTGTTGCAGCAGGCTAACATCTGTGCTCCGGATCAAAGCAGCATCCCTTAACCAAACACTTGAAAGCAGCACTTTAATGGAACCACTTCCCGATAACGGTTCCCAGGCGTCATTCAGCTAGGCGACGAAATTCCATAAGTAACATACAAAGAGAGGAGCAAGAAGGTTATGGCTGGACCCGTGGGTCTGACATAATTGTGTTAGTTACTGTCCCGTCCAAAAAGGATTGGTGGGTGACCCTTCACCGATCGGCAGAACATTACACCCAAAACCTACATCCTCTGACTCAGTAATAAAACTAGAGGAACTTTCTTGCCTATACACCAAAGCATGAAATCTTCTGAATAAGCTTGCCAAACCGCAGCTACGTCAAGCGCCATATGCCTGGAACCTCAAATTGGTAACGGAAACTTGGGTGCACGTAGACATAACCGACTCCGAAGTCGCAATACATGGTTTGTCCCTTCTCCGAAATTATCACCTTGGCAAGGGCGGGTGGCTATGTTATACTACCGTAGCGACACGCAGTTCGAATCTATGGACGATCCGGAAACGATGATCATGGACTCACTCTGGTGCAGTACGCGACTGAGGCGCAACGACACTTGCCTTGTGACAATTGCTTATCGTCCCCCAATATTCATTCCTAAACGGACTTCCGTCTGACATTAGCCTTAGGGAGAGTCCTGTGACAACAAAACAGTCGTGTCCTCATCTTACTTGGTTTCAATCTTCACGATCTGCATGTGTCGACACCCCTAGCGAACAATTTAAGGCCAACGTAAGATGGTGCTTTACAGGCATTTCGCTCTTCAGCCATGTCAGTTCGCCCACCTGATTCAAAAGGGAAAATAAACCATCTGTGCCTGATTTGGTGCTCATGATCGAAGAGCTCATGACTGTGAAGTTGACGATGGAAAGTTCTCTGGCTGAGTGAGCACATGACGACATTATGATTTTATCTATCATATGTAGTACACACGAAATTATTTCTTTTCGGACAAGCACGAACTACGACCTTCTAAAAGAACTCGTTGGAGTATCGATCTGGGATTGTGTTTGCTAGCAAGTTCATTGATGTGAGCATATCTGCGTTGGAAAACATGCCACTTTGTTTCGCGACAGCACCATAATGTATTTGGAGCAGAACCCGGAAAGGTAGGGCAGTAAGAGAAGCAGCGTTGCGTGTGTACAGGGCGAAACCAAGATTCGACAACTGGGGCAAATGTGTTGTGCAGCGAAATCACTCTACCGCACTTGTCCGTGAGGACGTATTAGTGCACCAGGCATTACCTAATGGTCTGGTTTTATGCTAACAACATGCTTCTGCGCAAACATTGTAACAGTATCAGGTAAGTGAAGCATGGTTTTCTCCAACTTAGCTAAGCAAATGGATGTGATCAAACCTGCGAGAATGTAGCCTACATTCTACGACTACAATGTGCCCCAGTATTCCGGCGTGCCACCAGCAAGTCACATACCTGTTCTATTCCCCCAGACGCCAATATTTACACACGTCATTTCAATACAACGACCGTTTTGAGGAAGCACCCATATTTCCACAGCAAACACTGCAGGTGGCTGCTGTGAGCGTATCTGTGTTACTGACCCGCTTTTTCCAAAGATGCCTAGATAAACATAAGGTTCCCAGTGTGTGCAAATGATATCTAAGTACCCCGATTTTCAAGGTTAGTTATTGTTTAGAGCCCGCCAACTATTGCCTAGTGATTCCCCTCTCGATACTCCCAAAGTTGACAGAGTCGATAATAGTTGAGGCACTAATGGGTCATCTAGAAAGCTCCAAGCTCGTGGCGCATGAGCAACACGGATGCCGTCAGCATCAGCTATGCACTACTAAGCTACTGTTTACGAGTCGCAGTTGGACCGAAACGGACGATAGCATGACCGGCACTTTTGCAAAGCCTACAACCGCTTAGATAACCGAATCCTTTTCCTAAAACTGCATGCCTATGGAATTGTGAACCCTGTCCTCGGATGGATGGAAAATTTCGTTCTCTAGGGCGCCTTCAGGTTTGTGGCTCATTTTCTGCTCCCTTTGATGTAGACTGCGGTGTTCCACTAGGGTCAGTGTTGATGCTGCGCTTATTCTTGATCTTAATCTACGACCTAGTGTGTGTCATCGTGTTGAATTTACTAATTTGCTGACGACATCAAGATATTGCGGAGGATCGGTATTCAGGAAGCTCACGACCTGCTGCAATGCGATTTCGACCGTGCTTTGTCTGGTCCTAGATCTACCTTCATTCAACTCTGGTAAGCGCAAAACTAAAAGCGTAAACCACATGCCCGCCAATAAGTTGAAGATTGGAGATCATATGTTGAAGACCGTCTCACAGGAGCGGGACTGTGATCTGGTGATGCAGGACGAACTAGGCCGTTCGGCACAGTCATTAAAGGCTTCTAAAAACGCTAACCAACATGTTGGTCTTTTATGGAGGGCGTTTGTGCGACTCAATCCATCTATATTCTCTTAAATGCTGCTAATTTCTGCAACAGCCGTAACAATTGACAAACGACAGTCGTCTGGAAAGCCGCTGGAATTATCTTTCACTTCGAAATCGTCAGATGTGGAACACTCTTTCGACTTTTCATTTCTGGGCTCACGCAACCTATTATTAAAATAGAACCAACGATGCAGTGCACCATCCGCGTTAGTTGCTTCGTATTGTGTTCATGGTAATTTTGGAGTGCGCTTCATGGTTGGCAGACACGAAGGGGCTAACGTTTCGCCGACATTCTAGCCGACCGTATTATGTGACCAACCTGAACTGGTGGCCCCACAAATTTGTATTGTGTTTGAGTTCCAGTAGGTGATGGCAGACGTGGTTAATAGTCCTCAGACTCGGTTAGACCATTATTAGTTCTCCAACTAATCGCCGACACTGACCACTGTACAATCTCAGTGTCCGCAGCGTCCCATCCCGACCAGCCCATGTGTCGTTCAATAGCTCGTGATTTACCTGAAGGTGAATGCAACACACAGTGATTGGGGTTGGTCAGGAATTTTACAGTAACGGTGGTTTTGTATTATTTATTGCGTGCTCGAACAACGCCCTCTCCGTTCTGTCTGGT